ATCATGATGATCATGATGATGATGATGATGATGTATAAAATGAAAAAAAAAAATGCAAATTACATGAAATAACTTCATAAATCTAAAATCTATCAGTGAATATGACAGAATCTTATAATCGTACACAAATAATATCCAATTATATCCATTAATCTTACATGCATTATTTTATCAAAGGTTTATTTTGTTAAATTGGCATAACGTGCTATATAACTATTATATATAATTGATTTCAATATGAGGATAAACATGAACATAAAAATTATGTACGAACCGTTTCACTGGTTTCTCCTCAGTTTCTCAATAACAAAGTACCTACGTAGATTTTATATTATTGTTAAATATTATTTGAGTTTCATTACCAAAATATTTTTTTTGCTTAAAATCAGTATTTTATTTCAAAGTGTTGATTATCTATACTATAATAATGATATAATAAAGAGGAAAAATTTATTTTTTTGTTTGTTTGTTTGTACTATATATAGGCTCCGAAACTACTAGGCCGATATAAATGAAATTTGGTAAGAAGATAGTATGAGACTCTGGGAAGAATATAGCATAGTTTTTATCCTGGAAATCGGGTTGAAAGTTTGTACCCGTTGTTTGAACCCGAGCGAAGCGAGGTTAAACCGCTAGTATTTGAAAAAAATACAATTGTTTTATGATTTCGATACCACACAAGATTGTACAAGTTTTATTTTGCATAATAAAAAAGGAAGGAAGTAATTTTTAACTGACTTCTAAAAAGGAGTAGGTTCTATATTCGTCCGTATGTATTTTTTTTATGATGAATATAAGTGACCTGTGAACATTTAATTAATTTATTTTTTATCATTGATAAATATGTTTGTTTAATATCTCAATAATATATCAATATTTTTTAATATAAAATAATAAAAAACATAAAAGACATTTTGCATAACTTGATCATTATTACACAAGCATCGTTAGATTGAAGTGTTTAATTGATTAGAATAATTTTATATTACTAATTATTATATCAGGAATAAGTTACTGTACTTACTTACACTACTTGATATATTTATACCTACATTTAAAAATACGCAATAACAGAACAGAGTTTTTCATTTACTCAGTAATAATCAGTTATTTTTAGAATCGAAGTATGAAGGAACCATTTACCGTTCCTACACTTAAACTAATCACCTTCTGGCTCAACAATTCGATGGAACAAAAATATTGTACTGTTGCCGGAAAAACATACTTTCCAAGTTTTATGTCACAACAGTTGTAAGTAAATTGGAGTATTGTATTTAAATTTTCATATTTTCTCCTGCCCTGATTTTCTCATTTTTCTTATATTTTGCGTACTTCAAACTCGCGTTGCTAGTCCTGCCAGCGCTAAGGTCGTAGGTAGGTCGGTAGGAAGGTAGGTAAGGTAGGTCTAAGGTTAACTGCCAATCATCTATAGACTATTGTCTTATTGTTGTAGTGGATTCTTTAGTCAGGAGCCCAAGTGCCTTAGTAGTTCCTTTAAAATCTGACATGAACGCATACATTCTATGATTGTGATATCAAATAAATGTATGTGGAGCCTCGAAACAAAACTCATTAGAACCAGCCAAGTTTAGTCAAGTCATCTTCGACAAAAAACATAACAGGGCCAAAAACGAGTAAAATAGTGTCTACTTCACTTTTAAATTAGCAACACAAATGTCGAATATATTTATCAAATGGAATAATTTCATTTCAATGGTTGAATATCGAAACGATGAGGATTCGTAACAAATAAATTTAATTATTATAAGTGGGAGTGGAATAATATAGGCAAATTAAAATTATCATTCCCTCTATTTATAATTTTATAATATTTATAAATAACTAGCTGAATGCCCGCAGCTTCGCTAGTATGGACTAAAAAAATTGCTCAAATTTAATTTCAATTGAATTTATATGCTGTTTTACTTAACTTAGTCTCCTCTAAAGAAATCGTGAATAGGAAGTTAGAATTTAATTAGAAACTCCTTTGTATACCACATTGGTGGATGTTCCGTTTCGAGCTAAAATGTTCATGTCAGAAAATACCTCTATTAAGTCTATGCCTGCTACTTTTAACGACTAGCCCTGATTTTTATTAATGGTCATTGCAAAGCAATCTTTTAAGAGAGAATTGTAATCGGTTAAATTCAAAGACTTGATCAGTGGGTATCAATGGTATTTGTAGTGTGAATACTGTTTCCCCCCGAGTTAATCCAGAATTGCTAACAGTAGCCACTATAATTTTTTATCGAGTGCTGTTACTCGGAGTCTAGTCCCGTAACATATCTTAGGTGGCTTATTCATTATATGTGTAACCATCAGAAAGAGGATGAGGAGGCTTTATGTATTGACACTGTTAGGGACTTCATAGGATAGTAAATTGCTTCATCCTTTTGCATCACTGAATCGACAGACCTATATTCTATTTCTGAGTCTGTAAAGGACTTAAGTAGGATGTCATTAAAAGCATTATAGTTTTTGCGAGTTAGTACAGCAGATCCACAAAACCAAGCCAAGACCTTGTATGTATATTAGAAACATTAGGATACACTCTAAAAATTAGGTCTGTTATAGTTGTCACTGCTGTGGCCAGTCGAGCAGTTATACAAATACATACATTCACTTTGGATGCAGAATAATCTCCGTTCTCTATTTTAAGTAGTAGTTAAAAAAATCTTCAGAAGAAGTATCTCTTCTTAAATGGACTGGCATATTTGTTTAGCATTTCAGACAGTTTGTTTATGTTAGGCCATATGTATGAGGATTTTAAGCATGCTTTAACCTCGTCAGCTCGAAGGCTCCTAAGTACAAAAGAAAGAGTCCTTTGGTTCTTAGCCAGCGATGCAGTAACTCCATTGATCGCTCTATCACTGCTTCTGTCTATGGCTTTTTCCTACTAAGTGGTTCAACTCCGGCTTTGTGTACCTTAATAATCTCATCCCAATATGCAATTCGGGTGAGATTGAGCTAGTATTAAAACACAGTATTAGCCGTTTTACCATCGTTTAAAAGCGTAGTAGCAATATTTGAAAAGCCACAGCCAAGTATCAAGTAATTCTGATCATAAACTCAGTAAAATAGATTTTACTGAAAACAAGCAAAAATTTATTTTTCAAATGAAAGATAAAGCTATATATGAAAGGTTGTAACTTAGCGAAATTGTACTCGATTGTAATATGAAACATTTTTATTGTTTACATAGTATAAAGAAGGTAGAATTCGTATTGAAGGGGTGTGGAAATTACCATTACTATTGATTCTATTGGAAAGCAGCTTTGTTCATTGTTCACTTTGTGAGGGGAAATGTTAGTTGAACGCATGTATATTTTTATTTTCACTTTATTAAGATGAAAGTTTGTACCTTTATAGTTCAAGGAAATGTGGCTGGTTTATTTTTCATTGGAAATTTTACTGATATTGTTGTTGTAATTCGTGTTTAGGGCTAATGATTCATCGTTATTACCCTTATAATATTCTTACCCATGTGCTTTGAATCACCAAAACTTGCATAAAATTTTTTTGAAGTTCCCACGGTAAACAAAAATCACAATGACTTTTATACGTATACCTACAAGTATTACCGGTTTTATCATACAGCAAAAACAAGAAGAAGCGTAAAAACACGTGTGAGTTGGAGGGGAGATCCACTTAATTTATAAGATTTGCAATTTTTGTTACTTTAGCATATCCGCCATAATTATGTAATTTCTGTATTAGTTCAACTGGCTTATTAATACGATTTAAAAAATACAGGCCTTTAAGTGCAGGAAATTTGGATAGACAGAAGGAAAAAAAATACTAATATCTGATCCCAACTAGACACTTCAGGTATATACTCAAGTCTAAAACGAAAGTGCCAATTGTGGTTTTTTTAATTATACATAACGATCTAACGATTCATAAATCATTCACGTCTTCCGTTCCGCTTTAATCACAATGCAAAAGATATGAAATAACAAAAAACTGCATAATGTTATTTATGTAAATAAAATTAATGTTAATTATAATCAGTTTCAATTAAGCTGGTAATTGTTTATTTTAAAGTTATGTTTTTATGCTTATGTATAACTTTAAAGCGTAATTATTTTTCCATTTAATCTTTATAAACCTCTAAAAATCTCATTAAATAAAATTAGATATATGAAAGAAAATATGATTAACTTAATGTATATAATCAAGAGGTAAAATAACGTCTTAAGCCTCTACGTCAAAAGGATAATAATAACAAGACATAAGTTTAAAAACTAAAATCCAACTACGGAAAATCTCACTCCAAAAGAATTTTTAATTTAATACGGAGCTTCATGTCCTCTAGTGGACGCCATATTGAATTTACTGCGAATTCTCATAGCCTTATAATAAGCGGATGATCAAACCTTTCCAACGAACATTTGTTAAGTTTTGATAGGTAGATAGGATTAATACATTAAGGGAACATATGAACATACATGCATATACAAAGCTTGCTAAAAATATATATCTCAGTAGTCCAATAATAATTGGTGAATCAGTATTGAAATACTATGTCAAATTTTATACTAATAAATACCTACTCGTGTTTATAACTAAATGCATAACAACCTACGCTGAAATATTTGATTAAAGTTTTTGGAATCGGAAAATTGTCGTTTTCGTAGTTATATTATTTTAACTAAACAGATTAATTAAATAATACAGATATGTATATTGTACATATTCCATAATGTTTCTGAATTCCGTTAGATAATATTCTTGATTTTCAAGTTTTTCATATTCTATTTGTTAATATCTAAAATTTTACAAAATTATGTTACATAATTTCTTTTTTACACGAAAACTAGATTATGTGGATGTAAACATTCCCTTAGATTTCTACGAGTACATAATAGATAAGTACTGCCGTAACCTTAGAATTTCAATTGAAGCATACATGAAAAATGAGGTGTTTATTGATTTGTTAGTCGATTTTGAAAAGCAGGGCTCACACTATTCTAGACATCGAAATGGTCATGTACTCCAAAATGTATCACGTATTTATTTTATTATTATCAATAGGTAATGTGTATAATTTAACTTGTAAAGACGTGTTGGATATTTCTGATCTAAAGAAGATTAAGCTTTATGAACTGCAGTCATTATCGCCGCAGGATGTCATAAATTGTTTATCGTATTTGGGAAAAGAAAAATTAACTGTGTCCGAAGCAAGTTTCATATGGAATTCGATAATTGAATTCTATTCCGGAATATCAAACATACCAGAGGATACTCTAGTAACGCTCCATTGGGTAACAATTGCGATATCGCCTGAAGACTATCAAAATATGACACTGGGCACTCTTGACGTGATAACTAATTTTGGTTTCAACTATGGTTTGAGTAATGAAAAACTCAGGGCGATAGCTGACCGCGTCCGCTGTGACTTTGGAGATAAGCAACCAGAAGATTATTCCTGCTATGATTTAGCAGCATTGAGACAGATTCTGTGTGCCTTTAACAAGAGTGAAATAGAAAGGATACACCCTAAAGCATATAAGGAAGTTGCAGTGATCATTGGAAAGCTCAAAAATTGTAACTATGATGTATTGCAAGGCTTCGCTACATTAACTGTTGACATTGACGCGTTTGGTTCCCCGGATACTTGGACGAATAGTACTATACGTAGTTTAGGGGTTGTAGCTGAACATTTGCCGGAAGAAATTACAGTTAAACTCAAAAAGAAGCTAGGTAGTCATATCTTAGAAAATATAGGCAATGTCGACTAATTGTGTTTCTTATAAAAGTTCTTGAACCACACGTCATACGTAACCTTCTTCAATTCAGTGAAGTAAAATAATATATGTTATGATACGATTCTATGCCCTTGGGGAAATACGTATAAGATTTATTAAATATCGTTTTTACATTAAATACTTATGAATAAATTACTAAACACATTGCTAGCTATTTATGATGTATGTGGGTAGTGTTTTTTCGATTCAATAAGCGGTAACAATAATAATAATTAAATATTTTGATGTTAATTAAAGCAGCTGTCACAAAGTTCGGCTTAATCAATATTATTAAAAGTGCTTTAATGTATACAATATTCATATAAATGAACTGGTATTTATCGATTTCTATACTATATCTCTTATATAAGATTATGGTTAAATAAAATAATATGTAACATTACGCATCTCTCACTAATTGCTCCTTTTATTTGTATATTTTTTTTTTAATATAAGTGATATTGTAGTGCTATGGCTACTTAGAAATCTATACAGATAAATCAAAATTGAAGTGTCTGCTTGTAATGTCAAAATAACAGATCTCTCATATGGCTAGACCGATTATGACGGAACTTTCACTGTCAGATAGCTGATATAATAAGGAGTACTTAGGCTACTTTTATTTTAGAAAAAAAATAGGGTCCCACGAAAAAAATTAAAACCAATTATACTAGTATACATAACCCTAATTATAATAGTATACATACCCTAGGAACGAACCCGAGCAAAGCGAGGGTGCGTCGCTAGTATAAAATAAAATTTGTTAAGTGAGAATCATCTTGAGTTTAGGAGGAAGAGGATTCACTATGGGATTTTTAGATATGTAACGCTATATTCGAAATTATATCTAACTCTATATAGGTATGTGAACAAGTTTAAAAACGTATTTTAGTTCAATAGAAAGAAAGAAAAATACTCATCCAGTACATAAGAAATAAAATTAAATAAATCGTAAATATGTGAATATATTTATTTATACATAGGTAATATTTATAAATAATGGAGAGACCAGCGTAATCCTCAAACCATCGTTTGGCTAGCGTGGTTTATAATAGTCTAAACGACTCCGCATTGATGGGAGGTTAACGACCTTTAAGATGTTATAAGTGCTGGATTATTATTATTAAGTTTAGAAAAAACTAGGTTTTGACAGACACTTTTATAATCTAATAAGGGTACATAATACTATATTTTCATCAAATAAGTGGATCCCTAAAAAGGTACTCCAGTTCGATGTCACCAATGCTTGGTACAGTATATGACATTTAACGTTTTTGTTTTGAGCAGTTCACCTTCAAAGCATTGGTTCAACTTTAGAAGCTATTATTAATAAGCTAATTTTGTAAGACACGCCTATAGTGGTCAAAGATCAGCTATGATATAATAGCGAAACGAAATCGACCCTCGATTAGTATGATTTATTGGTTGGTCCTATAAGTTTCAAAATCGACATCGCTCAATATGGACTATTAATTTTTCACAATATCTTGATTCGTTTTAACATACGCACGATTATTTCCTAACATTTATGTCTATAAAAATTAATTATGAAGCAACCACAAAATAAAATGTCGAACAAACCACAAAAATATTGGAGTTTTTGAAATATACACGGATTTTTAAATAAAAAATATAACAACAACATAATAATTCATCTGACAGTTCAGAAAAACCCATCGGCATATTTTTTTCCGGACCAATTCTAACGGTTTTCGCCAAATTAATATAGCAAATAATCGCAAAGGGTATTTATAATAGATTATAATTTTTTTTGACTACATATTTAGATTAAGACGAGAATAGATAGAAAAAATATACATCTAATAGCAAAAAACACAATAGATTTTTCAAGTTGTTGAACGGCAAACATGAGAAATGCTAGAATCTTCGAAACAATTCGAATCCATCGTAAATAAAAAAATAATAATCGTACAATCTTTTTTTACACTCATGTTGGACTTACGTCATTTGTTTTTGTAATATACAAGTCATTGTATAGGTATAATATTTGCAAAAAAATCTAAGCTTAAATAACATTAACATTCTAATAATTATCTATACATATAATAAAATTCCAACTAAGTCAAATCTGTACATTAAATATTTTTTGGGAAATCTAATTGAAATAGACATTATTATCGATACAGAGTCCGAATCTATAGTTTTTAGAATTTTTGTCTGTCTGTCTGTTTGTCTGTTACCGCATCACGAGAAAACCACTGGACAGATTTTGATGACATTTGGTATGATGATCGCTGGTTATCCGGGTCAACATATAGGCTACTTTTTACCGCGGGGAAATATCTCATTTCTGAGAAAAAATCAAAAACTGCATTGTAAGAGTATAGTAACATGTAACTACCTAAGAATTTGGTTTTTGGTCATCTGAACGCGGGCGGAGCCGCGGGCAATGCTAGTTACCTATATGATTACACGGCATATTTCGGACGGTGACGTCATCAATACTTGATTTGTTTCGTCAACACGAATTTGTGAAGTGGCGTTTTAACTAAAACTTGTTATTTATAAAAATCTAAATAAAAAAAACCATAACTAGCGGATAGCTAGTTATGGTTTTTTTAATAATAACGACATATAAGTTCATTTATCTTTTAAAAGCTGACTTTAAAAAGTGAAAAGGTTGAATGTTCTATGTTACTATTTCTAGAGCATTGTATATACAAAAAGACAAGACTTTTTTTGTGAATATTTTTCAATTTCGACTCTATCATTTAAATTTAAAACTTACATCAACTTACAAATGTATCTTTTTAACTCGTTTTTAAGTTTTGTACTAATTTTTAACTTTATAAGTAACTGAAATCTGGATGAAAATACAATAATTTGGTTTTAAAATAATTTATGCTCGATGGTATCACGAGTTGTTCTAATGATAGAGCGAGGATGGATAGTGGAACTCATCATAGTCTACTTGTCAAATCTTCAAGTTTAAACTTGATGGATTCGTTTTCACGATACCCATACAAAGATATGAGTAAATTCCCATTCAAAATTATAATAAAAGTCATGGTCGAAAACGAGGGTTTTTACTTTGTTAATATTATAACATTAATAATTATTTATTTATTGCTAGAAGTATATTTTTTTACCGCTCGATGTCAAGAATTCATGAGACCATAACAATTTTATAATTTAAACTTAAAATGTAGTAGTAGCATGTTAGGTCCATTAATTAAGACTATTTTTATGGTATTCCTTATTTTAACCGGCTTCAAAAAAAGGAGGTTATCAATTCGACACGGATGTATGTAATATTATTGGAACTGCAAAATATTCACATAAAATCTATTAGGGTTTCCAAACAAATATACAAAATCTTATATGTGTGTGTATGTATGTATGTGTATATGTTTGTATGTTTATATATAAGTATGTTTGTCCACGCATTTATCCGAAACTAGTAATCGGATCGTGATCATTCTTTTTAACTTGTTTATATTTATTTCAACTTAGCGAATAGTAAAGATTTTATCAAAATCGGTTCAGTAGTTTCTATGATAAGAACTAAAACGTGTAACTAAAACTAAAAAAGTTTTTGTAATTACTACTTATTACAAAAACTATTTAAGTTTTTGCTTAAACCAAAAAATTACGAATTAAAAAATGAATAAAAAAAATTAAACTGACAAAAAGAATTTGAAGGTAAAAAATAACTAAGTGGGGATTTCCCTTTACTATAGATACCTATCAGATATTTTCGAAGTCAGCGCCAGCCGACAATGCTTTAAGATATGAATATCTAATAGGTACATATGACAAGGTATGAACTCTAATTATATTTAAAATACTATACATCAATTTGTGATGTATTTATATACGAATCGAATATTATAATGTTGAATATCGAATATTATAACATAATATTTATAAATTCAATTATTGTATTTGAGATTGGTTTGTATTCATGCAGTAAATATTGATATAACCACCGTAGCCTTTAGTAAGTACTATATTTAAAAATAATACAGGAATTCCTTTCAATTACGTTAGTATGTCTTTTATTGCTTTAAAAAACTCTATTTAAATATATTAAGCTTAGGCCATGTATCCGTTAACAACCTTGTAGATAAACATCGAGTTCACCACTTTCCGGTTCAGTAAAAATAAGCAGCTATGAGGACTGCCCACAGAAGTAAAAACTTAAAACTATAAACAAACAGTTGCTATTTTTGGATATTCAGAATAATTGTTTGATCTTAATTTAAAATTTGTAAATTATAACTATTTACATTCAGGTTTTGATATCTATCGGCACTCTAAGTGTTAGCGTTAACACGTCACGTGACCATGTCGATGACGACTTACATGAATTTACTCCCCATCCACACCTGCCTGTAGAAGTTTTCACTTTTTCAACAGATTGAATATTTTTAAACTGATTCAATATTATACTTTTATAGAAAAATTCCATTTTATTCAAAAGTTTATTTCCAAAACCAACATTGCGTCAAACACAAAGCCGACATACATAACACATTTGGAAATTGTAGGGTGCCCTAATAGCAGTCTTGCGAATTCCAAATACCTTATGTAACGGCCTTGTTACATTATAAAATACGCTAACAATGCTTTTTTTATGTAACTTCGTTTACAAGTATAGGGTATAGACCGTTGGGCAACTATTCAAAATGGATGCGTGGGACTAGAACAGGCTCTATTTCAACGCACCGAATCACTAATGTCATTACCATCTTACCTTTGTATTTCGGTACTAGACCGTATCATGAATAATTTAATCTTATTTCCCATATTTGAAAGTTTTTAACTCCCGACGCAAAAGAGGGGTGTTATAAGTTTAACGTGTGTATCTGTATGTCTGTCTCTGTAACCGTAACCGTGTAACCGATTTTAATTAGGTTTTTTATTTGTTTAAAACTTGACTTAATCGAAAGTGTTATTAACTATAAATCAAGAAAATCGGTTCAGCCATTTGCTAGTTATCAGCTCTTTTCCAGACGGTAAAATGATAT